GTCTTCCCACATGGCAGACCCTAGTAGACCCATCTCCAGAATGGGATCCGTTTCTCACCAAACTAGATGCATTCCCAGCGAGTTCCTCCCTCTGTCCACTTGAAAAGACAACTGCATCTTCCAGTTTCTATGAAACCCAGGCCCATTTGAAGCTTTACTCCTCCAAACGCCTTACTCTAAACATACTTGGAGTTGTAGACATTTTATGAATGGGCATAATGTGTTCACACATGCTGGAGCACGTCTGCCTGATGGTCAAAAAATTACAAACATACCAATACCTACAGCCTCATATTATGCTGTGAGCTATGAGACTTTGGAGAACAATAAGTTATGGTCTCTGGCTTTGCTGAGACTGATTCAGTCTCTTATAAATACACCATCCCTTCTCAGCTTCCACGAGAATCCAGCCACGTCACACATCTCCGATTTTCTGAAACTTTGACTAAAGGTTTGCAAGGTCATGGGGAGTGGCCACATCAGATTTATTGCAGCATAACCTTGTTGTGACTGAAGCCCAATTTAACACCTGGTCCAGGTGCACGTGATGGCTGGGTGGGGACACCTGCACTGCCATTGATGTGCACGTGGGAAGAGCAAGGGATCTGCCAGTGATAGGAACACTTTTTTAAAACAGTGATTTCTAAGTATAGTCCAACTTATATTACATTCTCTTGAATGTTGGTACTTTGTATTGAATTTTATTCCTACTTTACTACTGTTTAAGGCATTTCTGGTTTTAATGTCAGCCTGCCCTAATTATTGAATTTGTAAGATTTCTTAGCATTAAACGATCAACAAATGTAATCACTATCATTATTTCATAATCTATCCTTCATCATGCTTTTTACTGCATCTTTGATTTTGCAATGACTTAGTTATAAATGACACCAAGAAACTTAGCTAAGATACGTTCTGCAGCATAAAAATTAGGTATTTGGCTGCAAGTTTATGGATTTAGCAACTTCTTTGCTAACTTAATTTTAAACTTTGTGTTTTTGAAATCATTTTGAATTTATATAAATGCCACAGAAATAGCACACAGAGCTCTTGTGTACCCTGCGCCCCACTTCTCCAATTGTTAAGGTTGCTGACCCATCTGAGAAGTCGCAGACGTGATGCTCTGTTGCCCCCTAATATTTCCGTGTGTGTTTCCTGAGTACGAGGACACTCTCCTACGCGACCGCAGGGCAGCCATCAAAATCAGGAAGTTGGTATTAATTCAGGGCTGCCATTTAGACCGCAGTCCCCGTTCAAGTTTTGCCGATTATCCCAACAGTGCCCTTGATGTCCAAGATCGAATCTAGGATCACATGTTGCATTTAGTTGTCGTGTCTTTTAGTCTCCTTCAATCTGAATCATTTCCTCATCTTTCCTTGTCTTTTGTGACCTGGATCTTTTAAAAAAGTACAAGCCAGTAACTTGATAGAATGTCCCTCAATTTGGGTTTGACAGTGTCACCTCCTGATTTTGCACTTTCTTAGACAGACCACCGAAAAGATGCTGTGCTCAGTGCCTCGTAGCAGAAGCTGCGCTATGTTAATTTGCCCTCTTACCAGTTAGGTGAACTTTTATCTCTTGGATAAGATAGTATCTGCCAGGTTTCTCCACTCTAACGTTAATAAGTATACGGCAATCATAAATTAATAAATAATTTGTAAGTACTTTGTGGGGAAATACTGTGAGACTAGGTAAATACAGTCGATTCTCGCTATTTGCAGAGGTTGTGTTCTGTAACATCACCATGAACACTGAATAGCAAATACGGAAGCATTGCTCTAGGGAAAGTACAGGGTTGGGTTCCTGTCACAATGTAATGGTCATCCCATTAATAATAACCTTGTTTTATGTATGTTTCTGTTCAAAGACATCTTATTTCATAGATGTTGTTGATTCGTTAGCATGGAACCCATGGCCAGCAGCACTATAACTCCTCTAAGACACGTATTTTCTCCCTAAGGCACATCACAGCCTCTTGCACTTAGGAACGCTAAACAGCATTTCAACACTATGCTGGGGGACAGCGGGGATAGACCGTTTTAAACAATGAAATCAGCAAAAGCACAGAAATGCGAAAAATGTGGCAATATATTGTGAAAAGGACGCTTGTTTACAGTGTGAGAGCTGAAACCAAAGTCAGAGTGTCACCTTGTGCGATCTCAGCCAAGAATGTGTGAATGTGGCAACTCACATTTTTTTGCCACTCTGTGCATGTCCTCAAATGACCACCTGCGGCTAGTGTTGATTTTAAGCTTACAAATAAATTTTAGAGAGTTGGCTAATTTGCAAATACTGAATCTGTGAATAATGAGGAATGACCGTATCTTCTTCCTGTTGCACTTTCACTTAGCACTTTTAGCATTCACTGAGCTCAAATCGTTCCGGATTTGGCCATTGAGAATCCTTGAAGTGGTCTTGTGTGGCCTGACATGTTCCCATCATCCTTTGAGCACTTCTTTACTTCCTCGTTCAACAAGATTTTCCAGGCTTATCTTGTATTTTCTTCTCCCCAGCTCTGAAGTTAACTTCTCCAAGAAGCTCTGCTTCCATTTAGTGGAAAATGGAATTTAGAAACTAAGAACTGGATGCTAGGTGGGCTCATTGCTACCAGGGTGTCATTACTTCTAAGCCCCATTAGTAGACAGAGTTAGGAAATAGGTTTATGTACACACACACACACACACACACGGTATCATCTATCTTATCTATCTATTTATATCTATCTCTATCTATCTATCTATCTATCTATCTATCTATCTATGTATCTGTCTATCATCTATCTACCATCCCTCTCTCTTATGAATTCATAGCAATACCTCTAGTTCCAATCTTATATCTAACTGTCCCCTTTCCATATCTGTAACTCCCTTCTCTGGTAGTTAGAAAACGATTCCCATTATTCTCAATGTATTGACTTATTTGCTCACTCCCTCTGTATGTAATCAAACTCCCAGCCCCACCAGCCAGAGATGTAATCTTGGATACCTGGCCCCCACTCCTGCAGGGCTTGTAGGCTGAAAGTTTAGCCCCAACAAAGGGGAAGGAGGAGGGAAGAAAAAAGAAAGGAGCTAAGTTAAAGTTGGTGAAAGTCTGAACTTTTGCTGAATTCTTAAAAAACAGCAGAATTTTTTTTTTTTAAATGAAAGCGAGGAGGGAAACATCACATATATTTTTAGTTGGCTTTGAAATTAGAAGGCTATTTTACCATTCCAAATGGGTATAAAAGAAAAACCAGTTTTATATAACTAGTATCTTTTAAAATATTCATGTGATACATATGTTATCTTCTTGAATAAAAAAATTGTATATTTTTACCAGATGTTTTAGATCAACACATTGGCTTTTAATATACCAGCTAAACTTAATTTGAATCTTTAAATGTTGATAAGAAATCTTAACTTTCTAAATTTTTAAATTTTGGGTATGACATTTTGATTTACAGTGTTTATAAGAAAATATCGGGTAATTTTATGAAGTACTTTGATTAAATTTGTTTCTGGTGTGTTTATCCATGTTAAAAAAAAGTATGCATCTTAATTTTCTTTTAAAATGCTAATTTAAACTTTAAACAATTAAGTTAAGATACAGAACATTCAAATTAATTTACACTTTAAAATGATAATAGTGAATAGTCTTGACTTCCTAAGTTTTAAATTCCTGAAAAAAGGCTATGAATTATCGCTTTAATAACAGTTGTTGCTTAATTTTTATGAAATGATTTTATTATGTTGCCGAGTAAGGAGATAACTGTTCTAAAAACTGAGATGACAGTACATGTCAAAAATAACGCAGCTTAGCTTTTCCATCGAAGATATATAAAGATTACGTGAATGTGAATTAATTCATAGTATAAACATGCAAAAATATATACACAAGAATCTCCTTTTATTCGTCTCTTTACCAATCTTACTCCTATTCACAGAATTTCTTGGTGTTACATGTATTTGGAAGTATACATTGGACTGTATAAATACGTTTTTTGCTTTGTTTGCTCTTTACTTAAGTATTATGTATAATATATAACATATAATATTACATGTTTCCACAGATGTATATGCATGCATATGTATATTTCTGCAGAGATTCACTTCATTCGTTAATAAAAGTATTTCTTGGAGTTCCTTTTATGCCAGTACAGGTAGCTCCATTTCTGTTCTAACTCCTGCAAAGTATTTCATTATATGGCTGTGCCATAATTTGAACTTTTCCCATTGATGGACATTTAGGTTTTTCCTCCCAAATTTTGCTATTATAAACAATGCTGCAATGAAAATACTTGCACCTACATGGCAAATTCTGTGAAATAAATGCCTAGACTCAAGGGTGAGACTTCTCTCTCTTCCTTGAGAGGCAGAGGGCAGATACTCAGCCCCCATTTCTGGGCTCTCCTCCAAAGTACCTGGGAGTGTCTGACGTGGTGGCCTCGGCCCTTAAGCCCTTTTAGCTGTGATAATTTCCTGTTTCATACTGAGGCTGGAAGATGAGCTGTCCAGCATCATGGACCACTTCCTCTGCTGTGGGCATCTAGAATGCTGGGCTGGGGAGATGACAACTCGGAAGTGCTAGTTGGGTGACATGGGAAGTGTAATTTAGAACAGTATTGCAGGTACTTTAGACATTTAGTAGACTTTGAGGTCTTAACAAGCAAGGCGTTGTTTTAATCAATAAAAATGCAAATGATTTATTTTAAGCAGTTTTTGAAACCAGAGTCATAGGTTGGGTATTTCTTGTACGGATATTTATATGTGGGTATGTTTTAGATACTTTATTAAATGTCCTTATCCTCATTGAAAATTTAATTTAAAGAAACCCCCAAAATCTGTTTAATAAGGGGGGGATGGTTTCTAATCAGTCATCAGGTTTTTCTATTTTTATTCTCTGTTCAATATCCTCAAATATTGCTGAATGGCTATTTCCAGTTCATTTCAAAAACAATTCCGTTTTATTTATTTTCCATCCCTTGTTTTTAACATTCATTTGTCATTTTTGTCATTTTGTAGACCTACCAAGAGCAGCTGTCAGAATCTTAAGCAACCTGACATTCCTTTTTGTGAGTTTGTCATACACAGCTGAGAGTGCCATTGTAACTGCTTTCATTACCTTCATTCCCAAGTTCATCGAGTCACAGTTTGGTATTCCAGCTTCCAATGCCAGCATCTACACTGGTAAGGCACTGCCTCAGAGCTCCGTGAAAACATGAGCATGTGTGACCACTAGACTAAAATGCAATGAGTGGAGAGAAAGTTCCTTCGAACATCCAAGTGTTAATTCATTAACAGCCGCCTCCCGCCCGGGTTTTAGGAGGAGGAAGTCCTTGTTTTCTCTTTGATTCAGAGTGTGTTACTGTGTGACATTTCTACCCACTGTGTTTTGGAAAGGGAGAACTTTGCATATTTATGTTTTGATGGTTTTCAGTTGAAAGAGTGAAATAGTCCATGGTATTCAAATTTAAATCTGAATGAATCTTTTGATGAGTTGGCATGAGTCAAAGTGTTAAATTTCAAAAAATGATTATCTGAAATATAGATCAGTTCCATGGTATCGGGATTTCCCCTTCATAAATGTGAACAGATTTTGATCAAATTATTGGAGATGCTTGAGGTTCGAAAGGAAATCTATGAATTTGTTTTAGAAGATGTTTTATGTCTGGGCAAACTGATTTTTAAGATACTTTGATACATGTACCATAGTACTTAGTGCTCAAATCTTTTTTCATGGTAAATTGCCTAGAAATGTGGGAACATTAGTTATCAGATATTAGGAGAATTTTTAGTATATGATATAATATTCTGGATATCTCCTTAGTGGTTTCGAAGATGGTCAAATGACTATATCTACCTAAGGCGAAACTTGTTAATAAAATATATTTAAACAATTAAGTGGAGAATTATGATGACTTCTCCCATGACTTTGGCTCCCACCTTCTCCTCCACGTCTACATTCAAACTCAGCAAGCTTGACTTATCTGAAAATTAACAGGCAAAATTATATTATCGTAGAAAGAAAAGTTGACTTGAAATTTTTGGGGCACGCTTTGTTCTCTATTTTACTTTACACATAAAAAGACACAGAATTGGGTTGAGGGTCCATGATAGCAAATATTTTTATAAAGAGTCTACTGTTGTGGACCATCGTAATTGTGACCTAAAAATATGTTTTTCTGTCTCTTGGTTTTCAAAAATATATGTTTTCCTTATATTAAGGTAAAATTTACGGATTACTGTACAGTTTGGTTGTCAGAAAATCTGAACATTCCATTTCTAGTTTAATTCTTACACTGACCTTTTCTTGAGCAACAATTCTTGAACAGGGAAACCAAGAGTTGTCTTGTAGCTAGCTAGATTTGAAGCCACATAGCTGTTATATCGTAGACTCATCTCAAGCATTTCCCAAACTAAGTTTCAATATTAAAAGGTGTTATTGGAAAGAAGCTTCATAGTCAAATAAATTTGAGACTTGCTGAGTTAAAGTATTGTAGAGTTTTTTGCTGCGAGACTTTTCATAACCTTTAAGATGCCGATGTGCATTGTGGAACTCCCAGAGGAAGATTTTCCCAAATTTATTTGACCATGAAATCTGACTTTTTAAAAGGCATCTTTTTCATAAACAGTGTTCCCCAGAACTCACATTGGGAAACACTGCTAGTCCATCCTGTGTGTTCCTGTTCCAGCCAGACTAGGGAGCAGAGCTGTCTGGATGGTCCCATTCCCCTCCAGATGCGCCATTTTGACCCCTGGGATTCCTGGGGCAGAGGTACAGTGCTGAGCGAGATAGGAATTGATGCATAGTGAGTGCATTTTGACCAAGGCTATCTCTTAATTCCTTGTGGAAAAATGGAGTAACCGGTTCAGCTGGACCTGGGGAGTGTGGCTGCAGCGTTCCACACTGGTGCGGTCAAGGCAAGAGTCACTGAATGTGGCCCCATGGCAAAGAGGGCACAGGGTTGAATAAAGGCAACTCATGGAATTTTTCATCCCATGTTCCAACATTAGGATTAAAGAAGCAATGTCACAAAGTTCCAATTCCATTCTGATTTTGTCATCACCATTTTTTTTTAAATCATTGCCAGTGCAATTTATACAATGTTTGATAGTTTCCTGTGTTCTGATAAAAGCCTTTTTATTCCCAGTTCACATACTTGTTCCTTCCTTTCCAGAAAGATAACAAATAATAATAGTCAAGAGATATTCAGCTGGATCAAGAGTAGAGGGTGACCTGTCATATTGCAGTAAGATTAAACAAGGGTGATAATTCCTTTTAAAACTCACCTTGATTTTTTGAATTCGTATCCGTTGAATCCTTCTTACTCTCTGAGCAGAGATTTGTATTTTTTAAGGACTTATTTAGTTTAATCTTTTGTTCTCTAAATCCCTTTCCATGTGTATAAGTGACATGGAGAATTAAGAAGTGTATCTGAACAAGAATTTAAAAATAGTTTTAATTTCTGTATTAAAGTGCTTTTTTCGTTTAAAAAATTATTTGGATGAATACCTTTACCCTCCATAGCCATCTGCTTGTGTTATATGATAGAGATGAAGCTCATACGTGTGTCAGAACATGGCCCTCTTCTCAGGCTCGCTCTCCCAGTCATTGAGCGCCAGCGAGGCCGCCCTGTGGGTGGGGAAATATGAAGACTCAGACCAGGACACCAGGTTGCTTACAGATCCGAGAGGAGAGAGAAAGCTTACAAAATAAGTTTAGAAAAAGCCGTTGAAATAAAGTAACAGGAGATGTGGGTTGCAGAGATGATTCTGGCTTGGGGAGGAGTGTGTTTGAATTGTGTTTCCTGAAGGAAATTGCTTTTACCCAGGCTTTTGAGGGAAAGTAGAACTTGACCACTTGAGTTTGGAGGAAAGGTGTTTATTCCCTCCGGAGGACTAGCTTGAGCAAAGGCAAAGAGAAGGGAAGGATAAGGCTTGTTCTGGCAGGAAAAAGAGTAGCTTGTTTCCTGGGACAGAAATCGAGGGGGCTCTAAAGGCGAGCAGAGGTGGGGAGATGAATGCTTTCTGGTATTTATGGGGCTGGGACCTTCAGCGCCACTTGGCTGATACTGTAATCACACTGGGGGCACCTGTGCCCTGGGAGGAGGTGGTGACACCAGTGTCGGATGAGGGCATCATTGAAACACCTTGGTCAACGCCACCTCATTCCTCCGGTGTTTGCATCTGCACACCAGTGGATCTGTGTTCACATTACACTCTTCCTGTTCATGGTCCTTCTGCTAAGCCATTTAGGGTCACATTTCCTGACTGAAATTAAATATTATGAAGTTGATATTTTGGAAAAGCATGAAATGATGGGAAGAGCCCTGAAGGAAGAGTTAGATAGATTCTGGCCTTGAATCCTGCTGCACCTGGTTACTAGCTGTTTGACTTTGGGCAAGTCACTTACCTCCTTGAACTTCAAGTACAACGGAAGTTTATCTGTAAAATGAGAATCATATCTCCCCTGTCTCTGTGTGTGTGTGTGTTTATGAGAGGATCAAATGAAGCAGTGAGTAGTGCTTTGTTCTGAAGCTCGCCTGGCTTCAAATAGGTACAACGATATAAAATGAAAAATATAACTTAGTCATATATTATGGGAAAGAAAATTATTATTTATGATGACAATAGCACCTTACCTGAGAATGAAACCTTCTGTAACAATAATGATGACAATAATAAAGCAACTGCTGACGTTTATTGAGTGTTTATTAAGTGCAGGCAGTATCTTAGCATTTTCATGTGGACAACACTGTTTAACCCATGTACCTAATGCCTAGGCAGGAGGTGTTACTGATCAAGCCCATTTTCCAGATAAGGAAACAAACGTCTAGAGAGGTTTAATTAACTTGCCTAGAGACCTGCAAACAGTGAGTGAAAGCCAAGGGGCTAGAGTCTTGTAGGATGTAAATATCCATATGTGATTTTTATTGAAATATTATATTATTATAAATATATTTATTATGTTTATGTTATTATAAATATTATAATAAGCATATTAACATATTATATTAACATATATTGCCATCATTTCCAGTCAGTTTTTGCTTTTTAAAAAAACATTTCCAGAGGAACAATATTCTGCCTAAGATTCTCCTTCCACCCACTCTGCCGCAGCCTTGGCCACTGAGCATGGTCAACGAGAGCCCTTTTCAGAGTTCTGTGTTCTCTCAGCATCACTGTGCTTGCCCCTCACCCTGCCCTTTGGTGTGCAGAATTATAACGAGTTAGACATTGGTTTGTCTTTACAAGGGAAATAGCCTTGGAAAACTCCATTTTGTTTGTCCCTGGAGAATAATGAAGATACTCAATTCTGTGGTAAGGGGTTAGGTTGGGATGTGATTTAAAAAAAAAAAATGCTGTAATTTTTATTGTTGTCTGTTAACTAAATATTTGCCATCCATCTTCAGCCACTGATTTGGGTTCTTGTCCGTGGTAGTCAAGGCAGTGTCACTGGACTCTGATGGGAGCCTTTGGGAATCATTGCATCTTTAGACACAAGGGAGGCTGGAATGTGCATTGATTTGTTTCGTTCTTCTGAGGGTGTTAACAGCTTTTCTATACCAGCTCTTTAATTTTATAAGAGTAGTTTTTAAAATCCATTTTTGTACTAGTTTTATAAATGTATACAAAGAATTTTTTTTTTAACATTGAAATTAAACTTTTAAATGCAAATGCACCACATTAGGTATGGATGTACTTAGCGTCACTGCCCATTTCCAAGGTCAGGCGATGACATTTGACCCTGTGAGACCTGTGCAGACACCACACTCAAATACCATGTGCTCTGGGAGAGAAGTGGAAGCAAACCAACATCCTGAATCAGCTGCTAGTCTCACTTCTGTGCTTTTCAACAATCGTGAGATGAGTAGAGGCTATTAGGAACTGAGAGTGACACTTATACGCTCTTTGTCTTTTGGGCAGAGAGGTCTTTATCATACAGAATTGCGTTTGTTTTTCTCCAAGCTAATTAGAACTTTTGCAGAAGGTTATGGTAGATAGGTTATCATACTCAGATTCTTTTTATTTGTTCATTAGCCAATTAATATAAGACAGTTGAGTGCCTACCATGAGGCAGGTTTTTAGCCAATGCACTAATGGTGGCACTGGGGTTAATTGCTTAAGAAGACTCAGAGGACCCAAATGTCAGTGTTTGCACACGGATATCATATGACAACAGCATT